AATTTTTTGTGAAAAAGTTGTCATTTTAAATCCCCCCCTGTGGGCAGGTTAAGTGTCAGATTTACAAAAAAAATATACCAAATGATAGGTAAAGACATTAAGCATCTATATAAAAAAAAATTATATTGATATGTTCATTTTTGAAAAAGTTACGGCAGTTTTGAGTAAAAAAATTGAAAAAATTTCGAAAATTAGCGATTTTTAAATTTGTAATTTTTTTGGAGGTTTCCCCCATTTATAGGGAACGAGGGAAATTTTTTCAATTTTGAAGGGTAATGTCTTCGACTAGATACGATTTGTGATCTTTTGACGTATCGTTGAAAGAAATCCGTTCGGTGAGAGCTGAGAAAAAGTGGTAACAGACANTTTATAGCCAAAGATATGCTGCCACTATCAACAGTGGATGGTGTTGGTTTTATTGAATTTATGAAGAAGATATCACCAAATTATGAAATACCAAGTCGGTTTACAATCAAAAGGAAGATTCAAGGACTATACGAGACAGAAAGACATAAAGTAGCCAATGAAATAAAAAACATAGACTCAATAGCACTAACTACTGACTGTTGGACCAGTAAAGCTATAGAGTCTTATATAACAGTTACGGCACATGGCATTAATAAAAATTGGAAAAATGTCAATTATATTATTACAACTGAATTAATGGATGAGCGACATACCAGTATAAATTTAAAACAAAAATTATTGGATATTATGAAGGAATGGGCAATTGATACAAAAACTATGTGTATTGTGCATGACAATGCGGTAAATATTAAGAATCTAAATTCTAAGCAAAATTTAAAACTAGAAAGTTAACTCACTTTACTTAAAAGATATATAAAATATTACTTTATTTAATTTTTTTTAAATTAATCGTTCTATCAAATTTTAATTTTCTAAATAACTCAGTTTTAAGTAACTAAAGTATCTAGAAATGATGTAACACTATTTTTGTGTTAAAATTTTCGATTTTCGAATTTAAATTTTCAACTTAAAAATGCTATAACTTTTTGAAAAATGTATATATCAGCACAAATTTTTTTTTTCTAAATACATTATAAGTACATCTTTCATTTGACATACTTTTTATTAAAATTGGACAATTTCCCCTTATATAGGGGGCGTTCAAAACTTAAAATATTGTAAAAAACATAGATCTTTTTCAACTGAACTTTTGAAAATGTTCCGGAAATACTGCGTCCTTTAAACATATATCAAATTAAAGCTTATTTTATGTACTACAAAATGAAAAAAAAAACTTGTCCCGACACTTTATCTTCTATGTGCAAATGGCTGTCGAAATAAAAAAAAAAATGTAATGTTTGCGATTAAAATCACCTTCTATCGGAATGTTCTTTGTACTTAAAACTCCCAAAACTTTTTCAAAAATGAACAAATAAAAATAATATTTTTTTGTATTGAAACCTTAGATATTTCCCTTTCATTTGATATAATTTTTTTTGAAAATCTAACACTTATTCTGCTCACTGGGGGGATTTAAAATAGTAACTTTTTTACAAAAAAAAACTTTTTCAACTTAATTTTTGAAAATGTTCCAGAAATACTGCATCCTTTAAACATATATCAAATTAAAGCTTATTTTATGTACTATAAAATGAAAAAAAAAATTTGTCCCGACGACCCATCTTCTATGCGCAAATGGCTACCATATTCAAAAATATGCTATTTTGACAAATTTTTTTTTTAAATTAAACACTATCTACAGATTTGCATCGAAGCGTTTTTTAAGATAGTGATTTTAATCACTGTCAGATATCATCTCTACTGGACCCAACTATGCCACGACCCCACTGTGCTACCAACACTGTGTCTTTACCGTTATTGTTTAATTGATATAATAAAAAAAAATCTACAAGTAATTATATTTGTTAGGATCAGGGGCACTAAATATTATAGTGCGTACCCGAACCGGCTAATTGCACTAATACCGATCAGACTGCGTAGTGTAGTGTATGTGAATAGAATCACTGGTGGTGGGAGGGGTCGCCTGCGCAGCAACCAGTGATCTATGTAATGACAGATGTGTTAGTGTGTAATTATGTAAGTGTGTGCTATAAAACTAAATAAATAAATAATTGAAACCTTTTTACAACAATTAATAATAATAATTTAATAAATGACTTGACAAGATAAATTTAGCCCTTTTGGCTCAACAAATAATATAAATATGCACTCTCAGGCTATAACAGAATAACAACAACAATGAACTATACAACTTTAATAAATCAATAACAAATGAATATGACTCTTCCAATTATAAATGATTCTCAACTCTTTCTTTAAAGTAATTATAGTAATAAACAATATGTATAAAATAACTCGAAGAACAATGGTGTAAAATTATGTAAATTAATTAAAAGGACAATATAAAGAATAATTGTATAAATTCAATAATAAGACGTAGTAACTAAATTAAACAAATTTGACTAGATAATAATTATTATTAAAATGACATTGAACAGATAACACAAAATTAAAGATAGTTTAATTATTTAATGATTTACCCACAATATAAAACAACAAATACCCGTACGATAATGACTATTTTATACTCACAAGGTCCTTATGAACGTTGTGCGTTGGCCTTACGCCTACAATGAAATAAATAATAAATAAATAAAACTTGTGATAACTAATATGTTCAATAAATCACAATCAATAATCACTATAATAATAATAAAGAAGACTACACTAAATTACAAAAAGGAACACAAATCAACAATAGTACTCAAAATTTGCAGAGCTGCTGGCCAGAGATGCTATCTAACACTAAAACAAGGATCACGATAATAACAAATGAACTTAAGACTACAATTTGGTAACTCAAATTTAAATATCACAATTGACTAGCTTAATTTTACTAATTAGTAGCAACAATAAATCTTTCCGTCAGCTAATTAGTAGCTTTAAGGAAGTCACAATTAGTGCAACAAGATTTTTGTAAACAATCAATGCTATGATAGAAAAATAACTTCTTCCTGTTACAAAAATTAAATTACGTTTTCAAGAAAATATACGAAATTCAACAATAGAAAAACAAAAACAATGTGTATATACTGGTTGTTACGCAATACAATGTTGTACTATACTATAATGCGGTTATGTGCGTGTGTGGTGTGTAGTGTGTTCATAGTAGGGAGTCGTCGCGTGATAACAATTAGACCGGTCCGAGTACACGTTAAGTTAACAACTGAAATGTTGTTAACATTCACCCCCCCGCTGATCGATGAGACGATCTGAATATCTTAAAAAACTCTTATGGGATAGGTTGTAAACCCTTTGGAAGTGGATAAACTCGATTTGCTGCTCTTTTATAAATTTGACCGTTACTTGTACGTAACGTGACTACACGTACAATTCTGTCATTGCCAGGGTGAAATTCTTGAATACGTAGCATTGGCCATTGAAGAGGTGGTAGATGATCTTCACCCAACAATACTAGCATTCTAACTTGTAATGGGTTTGATCCTTTCCATCATTTAGTTTGTTTCTGGAGGGTTTGCAAATATTCCTTTGACCATCGCTTCCAAAATTGTTGCATCATGAATTGCATGTGTTTGTAGCGTCGTGTGGGACATTGTTGAGAGATGCTTGGCTCTGGTGGTAACAACAGTGATTCTCCTATTAAAAAATGTGCTGGCGTAAGTGCGTTGTAATCATTTGGATCATTAGAAAGTTCCGTGATTGGCCGTGAATTTAGACAAGCTTCGATCTGAGTAAGTAATGTAGTCATTTCTTCAAACGTTAGAGTGGTTAATCCAATTACACGTTTCAAATGATATTTTGTTGATTTTACTGCTGCTTCCCATAGTCCTCCGAAATTGGGTGCTCTAGGTGGAATGAACTTCCATTGAACACCAATCTCTGCCATTTCGTCATATGGACTTCTACTTCTCTGACTTGCTAAAAATGATCCTGCAGTTCTCGTTTCGCTCCTTTAAAATTAGTTGCATTATCGCTGTGTATTTCTCGACAAATTCATCTTCTAGATATAAATCTTCGAAGTGCAGCAACAAATTTTTCTGAAGATAAACCACTAATTCTAAATGAATTGCTTTAGATGTAAAACAAACGAATAGTACAACATAAGCCTTTTCCTTTTTAGTATTTTTTCCAAACCCAGACCGCACCATTATTGGTCCACAAAAATTGATACCTGTTACAGCAAAGGCTCGTTCTGAATTTACTCTTGTGCTGGGAAGCTGTCCCATTGATGGTTGAGAAATTACCGGTTTTATTTGAAAACATTGTCTGCAATTTCGCACAATTTTGTTCACTAGAATCTTTCCATTAAGTGGCCAAATTGTTTGTCGTAACTGGCTCAATAGCAGATGTGGTCCAGCATGTAACAACTTTTTGTGTTGAGCCTCAGCAATCATAATAGTTACTCGGTGATTTGATGAAAGTAATACTGGATNATAATAGTTAGTATCATAATAGTGATTTGATGAAAGTAATACTGGATGCCTTTGATTGAAATTGATGTTAGCATTTTTTAGTCTACCACCTACTCTAAGAAGTTTTAATTCATCTAACCAAGGTGACAGTCCTCGAATTGAACTTCCCTTCTTCAACTCACGGTTTTCCTGTAGATCATTAATTTCCTGATGAAAATCATCTTGTTGTGCAATTTTGTACCATCTGATAGCTGCCTCTTGAAGATCCGAGGCACTAAGCCGTATTGTTGGACACTCTTTCAACTCTAATCCATTATCAGAGTTGACCCTTTTTTCACGTATACGTTTTCTAAAATTTCCTATATACTGTAAGATCCATGCAGTAATGCGTAATAATACGTCCCAACTTGAATACCGCTGTAGTAATGTGTTGTCAGTTTTACAGGATGTTAACACCAATTTGGTCCTTTTTATTTCTGGCGGATTCTCAAGCAATTCAAAAGTGCTACTTGGCCATTCTTCTTGTGGTCCCTTTATAAACTCTGGACCTGTCCACCACATTGTTGAAGATGAAAGTTGATTTACCGTCAGTCCTCTCGATATAAGATCTACTGCATTTTGATTAGTTCTGACATGTTTCCATTGATGAGGTGATGTAATATCGTGAATTTTCAATACACGGTTTCCAACATATGTGGCCAACGTCCCAGACATACGATTTATCCATGTGAGTACAATAGTGGAGTCTGAGAACAGTATAAATTTTGACACATTAAGCCTTAACGCCGCTCCGACCTTACGACAAAGTTGAGCTAACAAAAGTGCCGCATTCAATTCAAGCCGAGGAATTGACACATGTTTAAGTGAGGCTACTATAGATTTTGAACAGAGTAAGCAAGATGACCACTCTCCATTACTTGTTTTTGAGCGAACATATAAACATGCTCCGTATGCGAATTGAGAAGCATCACAGAAACCTACAATCTCCACTCCGTCTGTTGACATTTTTACAAGCCGTTGAATCCTTATGTCCTTTAAGCAATGTAACTCTTTGACATAATTTGACCATCGCTTACGAATGTCCTCGTTTAATGGTTCATCCCATGAAACCTTTTCTTGCCACAGTTGCTGAATGAATATTCGACCTTTGATGATTACAGGACTGAGAAGCCCGAGTGGATCAAAAACTCTACTAAGTTCAGTAAGAATTGATCATTTTGTGCATCGTGCTGATGATGGATTGAAATTTGTCTTAAATTGTAACTCATCGGTCTGTGGATACCAGCTCAACCCAAGTGATTTGACTGAATCTTGATCACCAATTTTTATTAAAAAATTTTCGTCTTGAGCACAAGGATCTAAGTCTAAAGAACGTAACAAATCTGCTGAATTTGAACACCATTTTCGCAGTTCTAACCCAGCATTACACAGTACTTGTTGTATTCGTACTTGCAATTGTTTTGCCTCTTCCAATGTTGGGGCTCCACTTAACAGATCATCGATATAAAAATCGTTCTGGATTACATCGGCCGTCGTTTTATCGACCCTTTCAATATCTATTGCAATTTGATTGAGACATCGAGTAGCTAGATATGGAGCTGATGCTGTCCCATATGTTACAGTACGTAGTTTAAAATGTTGAAGACTTTCATGTGGTTGGTTTCGCCAAACAATTCTTTGAAGATCTCGATCTTGTGGATCCACTAGTATTTGACGATACATCTTTGTAAGATCAGCACAAAATGCAATCTTGTGCACTCGAAATTTAATCAAAATAGTAGCTAAATCAGACTGTACTGTAGGGCCAATCATCATAATGTCATTCAGAGATGGACCGTTTAATGTTTTTGCACTGGCATCAAATACTACTCTCACCTTTGTTGTTAGACTGTCTTCTCGTATCACTGGATGATGAGGTAGATAATAACATGAATTGTTTGTTGTGAATTCTCCTGTAACTTCTTCCATGTGACCAAGCTGAAGATATTCTTCCATGAATGCTTTGTACTGGCTGTAGAGTTCGGGTTGTACTTTAAAACGATTTTCTAAGCGATAGAAACGTTTTGTTGCCATTGGTAACGAATCTCCAAGAACTTGTACTGATTCGTTCAAAGGTAATCTTACCATAAATCGTCCTGATTTTGTGCGTGAATAGTTTTATAAAAAATGCTCTTCACAGCGAATTTCGTCTGCTGTTAGACCTTCTTGAACGTTTTCATGCTTTTCTGTGTCCCACACTTGGAACAAACATTGCAACTCACTATTATGCTGGTACGAAGTTTGTGGAAGTTTCCCAGAAACGACCAAACCTAGTTTTGTTTTGACAAACCATGGTAAACCTACGGTGATTTCTCGTTTTTCAGTTTCTAACATATCAAAGAATATTTCTGCTCCTATTAATAAATCTATTGGTCCTGGTTTCATAAAATTAGGATCAGCAATCTGTAGTTGTATGTCTTCAGGTATACGCCACGTCTCTGTAGGAATGTGATTATTGGGTAAAAGGTTAAGCACTTGGTCCACTACTTGGCAGTCTAACATCCATGACCTTTGTGAATACAATGACTGAATTTCGATTGTCGTTTGAAAGGCTGAATTCGTGGGTACTTCCCCTACTCCTCGTATTGACAGCACACCCTTTTTTGTAATTAAATTTAATTTATGTGCTGTTCTCTTACTAATTATGTTTATTTGAGATCCACTATTAAGCATAGCTCGTAAATGATGACAATTCCCAGTTGAATCCATAACCTTTACCAGTGCAGTGGCTAGTAAAACTTCACTATGTGCTTCCTTGTTACACAAAGCTGTTACGGGTCCAATTTCTTGCTCTTCAGATGTTGCTGACACTTCATTTGTACTTTCACTACTGTTTTGTGTATTTGTAATAGGAAAATGTAATAAGGAATTAAATTTACGATTGCAAACACGATATGTACCACCATTGCATTGTGCCACCGTATGCATGTTTGAAAAACAATTGAAGCACAGTTTAAGATTTCTCGTTATTGTTAATCGTTCTGACGGAGTTTTCGATTTAAACTGTGTACACGCATAAATTTTGTGTAATCCATTACACACCGGACATGCAACTGCCTTTACCAGTGAACCCTTTGTTGAACACACCTCACCACCCATTGCCGTTGCCAGTGTAATTTTCCTGTTGGATGCATGCCGACTTATCCCTTTCCTGGTTTCAATACCACAATTATCCCATGCCTCTGAAGTTTCAAACAGCGCACATCTACCCGCTAAAAATTGCTCTAGATTTTTATACTTGGGCATGTCTGTAGTTGTTTGTCTATTTTGCCATTCATGACTCGTTGCCTCGTCTAAACAACCTAAAATAATGGTGACAAGCCAAGAGTCCCACTGATCTAGTGGTTCGTTTAGCACTTCTAATGCAGATAAATGTCCTTCTACATGAGAGTGTAATTTTTCAAGACTACTTGCTGATGCATTGGTTATTCTTGGACTATTCAACAATGCTCTGATATGTGACTAAATAATTAGGGCTTTATTTTCATATCTTTTCTTGAGCTTGCGCAATGCTACTTCATAGTTTTCATCAGTAAGAGGAATTGATTTTATTATATCTGCTGCTGAACCACTTAATGCTGACCGTAGATGATAGAATTTTTCCACTAGATCGTAGTCCTTTGAATGTACTATTGAGCAAAAAACGTTGTAGAATGATTCCCACTCCTCTATATTTCCATTAAAACTTGGTAGTTTAGGCGGCGCTAGTCTCATACGATTACAAGATGTAGAAGCCATGAAAGATGAATTATTTATGTTGACATTTAAATTTTTTGTTTGATTAATGTAGTCTTGCATCATAGATCTTACTTCAAAGTAGTCATTTTCAAACCTTGCACGTTGTTCTTCCGCATTAACTGCATCATCAGGACATAGGAGTTCAATTTCAGATTGTACTTCATCAAATTTTCTACTTATCTGTGGAAGTTCTTCTTGTCTAAATTCTAATAAAGTGATTGCTTGTGTATTAATATCAAATTTACTAGCAAATGTTCGAGCCCTTGTTAAAGATGCTTTTATCACTGTACGCTTTTTCTTTAATCTCTTTAATAACTCTAATGTTTGATCATCATAATCCACCATTACAGATGAATCAATTAATAACGAAATGTGAAAGATATTTTTTCAAATAATTAACAAAATAAAAATGGCTGAACTTAAAAAATAAATGAAATACTATTAAATAAATTTAAATATTCACACAATACTGATATTATATAATAGCACACTTCAATACAATAAAAATAACACAGCACTTATTTACTTGACTAGAAACAATATACAAAATCACAACACAGTTAGGTAAAAAAAATAGAAAAATATAATATCACGTCGAGGTCACCAAAATGTGGATCACGATAATAACAAATGAACTTAAGACTACAATTTGGTAACTCAAATTTAAATATCACAATTGACTAGCTTAATTTTACTAATTAGTAGCAACAATAAATCTTTCCGTCAGCTAATTAGTAGCTTTAAGGAAGTCACAATTAGTGCAACAAGATTTTTGTAAACAATCAATGCTATGATAGAAAAATAACTTCTTCCTGTTACAAAAATTAAATTACGTTTTCAAGAAAATATACGAAATTCAACAATAGAAAAACAAAAACAATGTGTATATACTGGTTGTTACGCAATACAATCTCGCTCTATATACTATTTTCTCAGCCCCTCTAAATAAGGTNCTCTCGCTATATACTATTTTCTCAGCCCCTCTAAATAAGGTCCACCTGGAAGAAATATTGCGTTTTTTCCGCATTAAAATTCCGATTTTAATCCTATCGCCTCCGTTCCCGTACCGTTCGACGGCTCTTATCGTTTCGCGTCTTTTCCTGGCGGCCCTCGAATTTTTCGCCTTCGACGTTTTCTTAAATTCGCGATTTTCGCGATTCCGTGGAACGGAAAACGACGCGAAATAGGGGAGCGCGCCTCCCACTCGGCCCGTCGCGTTCCCGCCGTTTCGTCGTTATCGCCGCGTCCGACGCCCGAACGCGGTCGTTATCACAACCGCGCCGCCGTTTTGTGCGTCGTCGTTTATTCTGTCGTTATTTCAATATAGTGTTTTGACCGTATTCGTTTATTAATGTGATATTGTAAATTTTTCAGTTCTATNGAGAAAATATACGAAATTCAACAATAGAAAAACAAAAACAATGTGTATATACTGGTTGTTACGCAATACAATCTCGCTCTATATACTATTTTCTCAGCCCCTCTAAATAAGGTCCACCTGGAAGAAATATTGCGTTTTTTCCTTTTTAAAATTCGCATTTTTCTCTTTTCGCCGCCTTTTCGGTACCGTTCGACGACGCTTATCGTTACCCGTCTTTTCCTAACTTCGTTCGAATTTTTCGCCTTCCGCGTTTTCTTAAATTCGCGATTTTCCGATTTCCGTGGAACGGAAAACGACGCGAAATAGGGGAGCGCGTCTCCCACTAGGCCACTGTTTTCGCCGTTATCACCGCGTCCGACGTCCGAACGCGTGGTCGTTATCACAACCGCTTTGNAACGCGTGGTCGTTATCACCGCGCCGTTTTGTGCGTCGTCGTTTATTCTGTCGTTATTTCAATATAGTGTATTGACCGTATTCGTTTATTAATGTGATTTTGTAAATTTTCTACTTCTACTACTATTGCGATTATATATATTAATTAATCGAAACGTGCGATCGATAATTTTACAGCGATGACGACGATCGACTTGGTTTTCGAATTGTCTACGTTTTAACGATGATATTGTTTAATTCCGTTTTGTAAATTTATCCGTCATACGTCCGTTTATTCATTATAAATTAATTATATGGGGGTAGTGCGTGTTTATTCGTTAAAAAACGCGTGCGTTGGGCGACGATTTTACCACTATTGTAATTAATATACCACTATTGTAATTAATATATATTATTAATTTGATTTTGTCATTTTTAGGCTGTGCTACACTGTTGTGCCAGGATAACCGAGCTGTAGATTGTTGGCTGTCATCACTATTGGATTTCTGGCACAGGTAAAATTAATGTTCATTTGTCAAAAGAAATTTATTGTTATTCAATTAAAAGTACAATTCATCTTTATACGTTATTATTAATTTACTTAGCATATTTGTGTCAATTTGTATTTCATTTACCGGTGACATTTGTACTATATCAGTCTACACAATCTCTCTCTCTCTCTATCTATGTAAATATATATATATATATTTACATAGANTTCTCTATCTATATATATATATATTTACATAGAGATACTTTTTTTTTTATTTTTGTTTGCATGTACTACATTGATATTTGTGGTAATAATAATAATGTTACAATTTTATAATTGTCTATATAATCATTGTAATGGCTGTATTGATTAATTTGATTTTGTAATTTTTAGATGGCGTTTGTTGTGTCCGAAGGACTGCTTCAATAACGGTTCAGTCCGTTGGCCAAGAGCGCAGTCTCTAACTGCTAACCGATTTATTACACAAGTAATTAATTTTCATATGTCAATTAAAGTTAGGTGATCATTATATTATCTATTGGTGACCGCATTGTGTAATGTGTGTTGAATAAATATTTTTTATTTTTGTTATATTTAATCACACTCATGAACATGTTTGTGGTCCTGTTGTAATTATTTTTTTTTCCACGGTCGTACAATATAGCAATGACTGTATTAATTTATGTGAATTGTAATTTTCAGACTGCGGGTGGCTTGGATAGCAACAACATTATTATTTTTTTTTTTTTTTTTACTCACGGTGTGTCGTTCATTTTTGTTTAGCCCGTGCTTTTCCCTTACCGTTGGAAGAAAACCAAAAAGGTACGGTATGAGTTTTGTAATTGGGACACTTGAATTTTTTGTTTTCCTGATTTTACTCTTTACTTTCAGATCGCATTTCATATATACTGCCATTATTTTGTTGTCTTCTCGGTGACATCTAACTGCCGAACACAGCTTGGAAAACACTACTGTTGGCCTTCGGAGTTCATCGAGAAAACGACTACAGACTTATCCATCGATCGTACTTTAAAGTTATTGTTGAATTATGTTTTTTTAAATAAACTCTGTTCTATTTTTTTTTTTCGTGCATAAAACTAAAAAAAAATTAAAAATTGGAGTTTAATTTGAATATATCACTTTTTAAATTATTTATTTTATGCATAATTAGTAATTATAATTAAAGGAACACACAACACGTGTGAATTTTTAAATTAATTTTTATGTGTCATACAACAATTAAAATAACACCGGCTCTGTAAAATCGTATACGTTAAATGAATATTGTATATCAATAAATAATTAATTGAAAGCCGTTTATTTAGCTTTGGCACTGGACACTTTATAACACTTTAATTTGGGAAATGTTTAGCATACTAATTATTTATAAGTGAAAAATTTAAATTAAACGATAATTATTTTAAAATATTTTTTAAGTTAAATAATAACTCGCAATAATTCGGAAGTGAAATAAATTATTTGATGATATCTGTCTCTATGGCATGGTTTAATTATACCATTGAATTTCATATTTTCCGTTAATTCAAATACTTCATTTCTATATAAGGAAACACCATTATTGTATAAAACCAAAAGATTTTATTTAATACCTCAATATCAGTTTTTAATATTAAATTATTTATATTATCTTTCACTACTCTT